CTCTCTGATATAGAAGATTTTCCACAGCTGGTTACTCTGCAAAGAGTGATGTCTACATTGTCTCACCGTGTGACCCGGCCTTCCTATTACGTCAGAGCGATGCCAGGAATCCGTCGCTGCACAATGATCGGTGATGTCATAGCGGCCGGCGACCGCAGCCCAAAACTTCCACACAAATCAATAAAAGAGCCAATAAGTCATTTTTATTTGTCACTTTTATTTCCCATCTTATCAATAGAAACCATTTATAAAGAATATATATATATGAAGGAGGCAGCATGGGGGAGGGAAAGGGGCGGGAACTCTCTGTCCTCTCCTCAGTGATTGGTCAATCAGCTGATAAGGAATGCGATCAGTCATCAATCAGGAGATGGCGACAACGATTTATGTAAATACAGAATAAAGTTTTGGACATTTTTTTGGGGGGTTCCACGTTAACCGACGTACCCCAAGATGATATGACAAAGCCAAAGGGAGTCTCACCCCACCAGCTGCATTTTCTGTACTGCTATGAAGGAGCGTGGTCTCATTATATTGGAGGGAAGAGATGGGCGGAGCTGGGAACACCACACTGACATGAAGGAGGTTGGGGGGGGGTTTGATATAGATAGTGGGGGAGGGGGGCACAATGTAGGAATTATTGATTATCCTATTGATAAGAATAGTGATCGGGGTCCTCCAATACACGGTACCTGCCGCCAGTCCGCTCCCTCCGGGGGCTCATCCCCTCATCAGAATACAAATCCGGAACATTGGATCCGAAACTTCCCATGGAGGAGCCTGGATGAGGAACGTCACATGTCACATGTCACAGATCACATGTCACAGATCACATGTCACATGTCACAGATCACATGTCACAGATCACAGATCATATGTCACAGATCACATGTCACAGATCACATGTCACAGATCACATGTCACATGTCACAGATCACATGTCACAGATCACAGATCATATGTCACAGATCACATGTCACAGATCACATGTCACAGATCACATGTCACAGATCACATGTCACATGTCACAGATCACATGTCACAGATCACATGTCACAGATCACATGTCACAGATCACGTCACAGATCACATATCACATGTCACAGATCACATGTCACAGATCACATGTCACAGATCACATGTCACAGATCACAGATCACATGTCACAGATCACATATCACATGTCACAGA